CTCTTGTTGCCCAGGCTGGAGTGCAATGGCGCGATCTCGGCCCACTGCAACTTCTACCTCCTGGGTTCAAGCAATTCTCCTGCCTCAGCCTCCCAAGTAGCTGGGATTACAGGCACCCGCCACCACGCCCAGCTAATTTTGTATTTTTTAGTAGAGACGGGGTTTCTCCATATTGGTCAGGCTGGTCTCGATCTCCCAACCTTGGGTGATCCACCCACCTCAGTCTTTCAAAGTGCTGGGATTACAGGTGTGAGCCACCGATCCCAGCCTTAATTTTTGTATTTTCAGTAGTCCTGATCTCAAGTGATCTGCCCACCTCAGTCTCCCAAAGTGCTGGGATAACAGGTGTGAGCCACTGGGTGTGGCCTCAATCTTCCTTTTAATATGCCCAGACACACCGGGCATGTGGCTGCATTTCACCCTGGCCTTTTGAAGCCTTTGATTCTACTGCATGAATCACGACTCTTGCTCTCCAGCCCCTTTGTGTAGCTTTTTGCTATCTGGTCTTTGTGTGTCGTGGAGCAGCAGCCTCCCTCCTGGCATAGAGCAGGCCCTGGAGAAGAGCTCCCTGTCCCAGCGGGTCTCCTCGCCACTGTATGCAAAAATGATGCTGTGAGTCTCCCAGTCTGAGAACCATCTATTTCCCAGGAGGAACAAACCCTTAAGAGTCTCTTCTTTCTTGCCGTTTTCAAGCAAACCAATCCTAATTTTTTTTTTTTTTTGAGACAGAGTCTCGCTCTGTCGCCAAGGCTGGAATGTAGTGGCGTGATCTCAGCTCAGTGCAACCTCCGCCTCCCGGGTTCAAGTGATTCTCATGCCTCTGCTGATGACAGGGAGATTACAGCTGGGATTACAGGCGTGAGCCACCACACCTGGCTGATCTGTGTATTTTTAGCAGAGATGGGATCTCGCCATGTTGGCCAGACTGGTTTCGAACTCCTGACCTTAAGTGATCTGCCTACCTTAGCCTCCCAAAGTGCTGGGATTACAGGCACGAGCCATCATGCCTAGCTGTAAACCAAGCCTAAATGTATGCTATTACAGTAACACAGAAGTAACAAACACATAATAGAAATATGATCCTCCCATTCCCTGTTTTTTTTTTTTTTTTTGAGGAGACGTCTTACTCTGTTACCCAGGCTGGAGTACAGTGGTGCAATCATAGCTCACGGGAGCCTCCAAACCCTTCCTGGGCTTAAGTGATCCTCCTACCTCAGCCTCCTGAGTAGCTGAGATTACAGGTGTGCACCACCATGCCCAGCTAATTTAAATTTTTTTTTGTAGAGATGGGGTTTCGTTATGTTGCCCATGCTAGTCTGGAACTCCTGGCCTCAAGTGATCCTTCTGCTTCGGCCTCCTGAGTAGCTGAGACTACAGGCATGTGCTGCCACACCAGAGTTTAAAAACAAAAAATTTGTCGTGACACAGTCTTGCTATGTTGCCCAGGCTGGTCTTGAACTCCCGGGCTCAAGCAATCCTCACACCTCAGCTTCCCAAAGTGCTGGGATTATAGGCATGAGCCACTGTTCCTGAAATCCCCCGGCCTGAGGAGAGGCCCATAGAGGGTGAGGCCCTGTCTATCCCCACATTTCACTCCCGCCTCCACCCCATCTCTCCTCCCCTGCCATCCACCTCCCCTTGGCCTCTCGGTCTCTTCCTTCTCTCCATCCCACACAGGGTGTATCCACGGGCACACAGGGTGTATCCACGGGTGCTGCCCCAGGCCCTCACTGGCAAAAACACAACACGCTCAAAGAAACAGAAAGAGCCTGGAGAAGCCACTGCTGGACTTTCCCATCCTAGGACGATGGGGCATTGCCTCCAGCTCCTGGCCCAGGACACCAACATGCCAGCCTGGAGAACCCGTGAGCTGATGGGACGTTCCCATTCTGCATCTGGACAAACTGAACACTGCTCTCCTGAGACTGCGAAAGGGGTCAGCTCGGTGGCTTTGAGTCTGGCAGGCCTGGGGAGCCTCATGTCTGCCAACTGCAGCCAAACCCTATCTAATACCCTGCTGCCAAAAAAAAAAAAAAAGAGAGAGAGAGAAAAAAGAAAGGCCTGGTGCGGTGGCTCATGCCTATAATCGCAGCACTTTGGGAGGCTGAGGTGGCTGGGTCATTTGAGGTCAGTAGTTCAAGACCAGCCCGGTCAACATGATGAAACTCTGTCTCTGCTAAAAATACAAAAATTAGCTGGGCATGGTGACACGCACCTGTAGTCTCAGTTACTCAGGGGGCTGAGGCAGGAGAATTACTTGAACCAGGAAACGGAGGGTGCAGTGAGCCAAGTTCGCACCACTGCGCTCCAGCCTGGGAGACAGAGTGAGAGTGAGACTCTGTAAAAAAAAAAAAAAACGAAATTGCGGTGAGGTGCAGTGGCTCACGCCTACAATCACTTTGGGAGGCCGAGGCAGGAGATGGCTTGAGTCCAGGAGTTTGAGAACAGTCTGGGCAATGTGGCCAGACCCTATCTCTAAAAACAAACAAACAGAAAAAAATCAAAAAATTAGCCGTGCGTGGCACACACCTGTGGTCCCAGCTATTCGGGTGGCTGAGGCACGAGAATCGCTCGATGGCAGTTTGGTGCTGCTCCTGCCCCCGGGTGCTGAGCAGGCCTGGTGCTGTCTCCCGTGGACCTGGTCGGGCCTTACCTCTTGATGACAAACTGGATGCTGTTGCTGGCCTCCAGAATCTTCCGGAGCTTGGCGATCCCAAAGCAGTTGGGCCTGCGGAGGGAGATGCCTTCAGGGAGTCCCACCACGAAGAGCTCCTCCGGGTGCATCAGAAACTTCGAGTACGGCACCTTGACGGGCTCCGAGATGCCAATGGCCTTGGCTGCGGAGACATGGCTGCTGTAGGGCCACCCAGTGCCACGGGGCCAGGAACCTCCACCCGTGTCCCGTGCCTGTGTGGGGGCCAAAGCTGCCAGAGCCCTTTTGAGGGTCTGCCAGCCTTCCTGGGAGTTAGAAAGAATGGCCTCCCAGCCTGCAGGAAAGGAACCTGGAGCTCAGAGAGGACGTGACTTGTCTGAGGTCACAGAGTCACCAAATAGCAGAGCCAGGGGACAAGACCTCAACCCAGGGATACCCCAAAGCCCACACTGGGTCCACGCCCTCATGCCCAGGCAGCACGGAAGCTACCACTAATGGCTGCTGAGATTCAGCATCGCTTCCCCCAAGTCCACCGGGCCTCATCCTTCCAGTAAGGCCCTCCAAGTGTCCCTTCTGCACCATAAGCAACCCCACATGCTGGCGTGGCCCAACACCCATGCCTTGGAACGAGCCCGATCTCTGCCACTGAGTAGTGTGGGGCCTTGGACGAGTCACACCCCTTTACCAGGCCTCAGTTCTCCTCATGTGTAAAGTGGGACTTAGGACATGGGGATTTTGTGAGATGGGATA